CAGAAGGAAGGTTGGGCAATCTACTTCCATAGTGATACCACCTCAGCAACTCAAGGAGGGGTCGCTATGAGTCGGGTCTGACTCGATGGCACATAACAACAACAACAACAACAGCAAGAATTCATGATGATCAACCACAAAAGGACAAATATTGTATGAGTTCACTATTGTAAAAAGTCAAGGAAAGGTTTACACATGGAAGGAAACTTTATTCTGTAGGGATAGAAGAAGAGGGAAGGGAAATTGCTAGAGAGGTAGAGACAAGTATTGATTTGGGTGAAGGAAAAGGCAATACTCCTAAAGCAAGTGATCAGCATAATAACACTAAGGAAAAGGAAGATACAGAGAGGTACGCTAGAAGTACAGACAACAAAGGCAAATATTATTACATATACAATATTGAAATATCACTAATAAGAAACATTGCTCTATGGTGGATACATAGGTACACAGGTTAAATGAAAAAGTATGCAGAGGCAAAATGGAATATACCCATGGTCATATATGTTTGGCAGATGATATTTCTACATATATATTTGTAAGTGCTTGTGATACTTAATGTTGTACGTCAACTTGGTTGGGCCATGACTCTAAGTGGTTTAAGCAGTTGTCATGCAATCACCTCCACGGTGAGATGTTATATGAATACCAATTCAGTAGAAAGGGCATTCCCTCAGGGGTGCAGCCTGCTTCCCATATATATATAGACGTCCTGAGAACATTCTGTGGCTTTCTTCTGCATCTGGATCTTGCATCTAGTTCATCATCATTTCCAGTTCTTGGAGATAAACCAGTGGCCTGCCTTATTGCCTACCAATCTTGAAATTGTTGCCTTTGCAGCCTGTGAGCCAACAATCTGCCATTTCACCTGCTGATCTTGGACTTATCATTTCTGGAAGCCAGAACATCTTAGGTTCATCAGTCCTTCAGCAGTATAAGGCAGGAAAAGTCTCCAGCTTGAAGTCTGACCATGAACCATTCTATACAATTGTGTGAACCATTTCCCTGAGATAAATTTCTTCTCCCTCTCTCCCTCTCTCTCTGTCTCTCTCTCTCTTTCTGTATATATATATATATATATATATATATATATATATACACACACACACACACACACACATACATATATGTGTGTATATATACATATATATGTTGTTGTTAGGTGTCATTGAGTTGACTCCAACTCACAGTGATTCTAGGTATAACAGAATGAAACACTGCCCAGTTGTGGACCATCACAATCCTTGCTATACCTGAGCCCACTATTGCACCCACTGTGTCAATCCATATCATTGAATGTCTTCCCTTTTTTTGCTGACTCTACACTTTACCAAGCAAGATATCCTCCTCCAGGGATGGTCCCTTCTGACAACATGACCAAAGTAGGTGAGAAAAAGTCTGGCCATTCTCACTTCCAAGGAGCATTCCAGGTGCACTTCTTCCAGGACAGATTTGT